TTTGGAGGTCTCTAGCCCCCAGTTTCAGCATTCGGGTTTGCAGCAAGGAGTTCAGGCTCAAACTCAGGTTTAGGCCCCTTGGAATACCAGGGTTCAGATCTTGGAATTTGAGGCCTAAATCTCAGGGTTCAGGTCCCAAACAGTGGGTTCCAGAGTATAGATATGGGAATCTGGTCCCAGACTTCAAGGTCCCAGGCACCGAATTCAGAGTTCAGCTCCGGATTTGGGGTCTTAGATGCAAAATCTTGAGGTTCAGACTCCAAATTTGGGGGTCCATATTCCAAGTCTTGGGTTCCAGAGACTGAAGTTGAGATTCCAGCCCCAGATATTAGGTGTTCAGGCTCCAGGTCTTGGGGTCCCAGCCCCAGATCAGGATCTCAGGCTCAGGTTTCCAGATCTCTGGATCCAATCTCGGGGTGCAGGCCCCCGATGTCGGGGTGCCGACCCTGGGTTTGGGGCGGCGTGGTCCAGGCTTGCTTCCCGGGCTGCGGCGGGGACTGGCCCGGAGGGAGGGGGGCGGATGCGGTGGGGAGGGCGGCAAGGCAGCCCCGGGGGCCGGGGTGGGGCGAGGCCTGGGCGAGGACAGACGGACAGACTGGGACACGCGGGGTGGAGACACTGCAGAGCAGGTGGGGGCGCAGGGGGGAGGGGCCGCGCTCAGAGACCCCTCCCCCGCCGGGGCCAGGGCGGGGGCCGGGCGGGGGCCGGGCAGGCAAGCCGGGTCCGGGCGCTCCCGCGGCCTCCTCGCCGGGAACCTAGGGCCGCGCGCGCGCCCGCGCTTAAAGGCGCAGGCCCCGCGCGTGCCCGCGCTTAAAGGTGTAGGCAGCCCCCTCGCTCAAAGGCGCGTGTCCAGTCCCACCTCCCATGGAGTCGCTCTAGCGTTGCTTGGGAGCAAGAAAAAAAAATCCTTGGATACAGAGAGACACAGAGAGAGACACAGAGACTGAGACAAAGAGACACACAGATCGAGAGAGACAGACACAAAAAGATAGGCAGGCTTAGATTGAGAGACAGGAGTAGAATGAGAGAGGCAGAGAGATGGAAAACACACATATTTAAGAAGAGGGAAATACACAGAGACAGTGAGAGACCTAGAGAGAAATAGGCAAGGACAAGACAGAGACAAAGACAGAGACTTAGAAAAAGTCAAAGAGACAGAGACGTGGGTGGGTGGAGGGGGTAGGTGGGAGGGGGTAGCAGAAACTGAACTTGGGCAACTCAGCTGTGAGGATGGGTATGTGTGTGTGTGTGTGTGTGTGTGTGTGTATCCACTTCTTATCCACAGCCCTGGATATGGTCTTACATCTTGGGGGCCTCAGGCCCCCAAGCCTCTCTCCTGCCCCTTTGTCTCAGCTCCACCTCCCTGGGATGTCCTTTCCTGGGTGGGGTTTCCTTACTTGGACCCTATCCAGCAACAAGCCTGATCTTTCAGGCCAGAGAGGAGACTGCTCCTTCCCAAGCCTCCTTGCCCTGGCTGCAAGGGGAAAACTTGGCTCCCATACCCTGTGCCCTCTGGAATTACAGCTTAGACCTCAAGACACACTGGGTAGATATCCATGAAGGAAAGAAAAGATAGGAAATGGGACAGAGGTGGGGAGCTGGACAGGTTGACCCAGAAAAGTGTATCCACTGCCTTCCCATTTCCCTGACTCAGGCCCACTGCCCCACAGACGATTCTGCTAGAAATGTGCAAACACATGACTCACCAGGTGTGGGGGCTGCCTGTCCAGACTATTGGGAGAAGATAGTGGAGGGGAGGGTGGGGGTTCTATGTGTCTTCTGGCACATGGTATTGCAGGAAGATGGATGTGGGTGGAGGTCTACATGGCTGCCCGGGGAACTTGGTGATAGCAACATGGAGGACCTGATCTTTGGGATCAGGGATCTTTGTGTCTGAAGGGAACACAGTCTTGGCCTTTGGTCATGGCCCTCACCCCGGGGGAACCTGAATGGTCAAAAACCACCCCTGGGGACCCCTCTTCTGAGTAGAGGAGTAAAGCAACCTTGTTGGGGGCAGGAACATGGATGCATATCCTCCCTGGCATCCCTAGCTCTGCTGAAGTTTTCAGAACAGACTTTTGGCTCCTTCCACTCATGTGTATTGAAAAACTGCAGCTAAAATTAACTCAGCTCTAGGGCCTGCCTTTCCAGATCATTAGCAAAGTTCATCAGTGCTCCTCGGCCAGCATAGTGGATATTGGTCACTCAGACACTCCAAAAGAGGATGCAGAAGTCTCAGAGACTACAGAAGTGGTGAAGGTGGGGGAAATACCGGGAGACAATCCGAGAGCACATCGGAATTAGAATTCAGTGGAACTGGATGATTTAGGGGAAATGGGCAGGGCATCAGGGGAGAATGAGGCAGAGGATGAAGAAAATTAATAAAGGGTGCAGGTGAAGAGCAGGTTACCCCTCTGGGCAACTGGGGCTTAGTTCAGCTGGGGAGCATTAAGGAATCTTGTAGAACACGTCAAAATTATGGTTCCTCCTCTTTTATTACCCCCTGCAAGGTTTCTTTCTTCCTGCTTCATTTATCCACCAGTACTTACCCCTTTGGGTAATGGTTGTGTCTTTGGTGGGAGAGGGCGGTACTGAGAGTCATCTGAGATCTGAGACAGAAAAGCAGAGAGGGATGCCCTGCCCAAACTAAATCAGTGGTCCTCACACTTCAGTTGTGTTGGGATCATCTTGAACTCAGCAATAGATCTCCAGGCCCCAGTCCCAGAGTTTCTGATCTGGTACTTCTGGGTGGGGTGAAACATTTGCATTTCTAGCAAGTTCCCAAGTGATGCTAATGCTGCTGGTTCAGGGACCACACTCTGAGAACAGCTGGGATAACCCAGGGACATCAGCCACCTGCATGGAACTGTCCACCACAGCTGTGCCAAAACCTGGTGGATTGGGGGGACTTAGCATTCTCAGTGTGTGCCAGAGAAACCAACATATTTAGAGACATAAAGAGGGGTTTGGGAGCAGAGAGGGGCAGAGGCGGAGATGCTGGTTCAACATTCACTATAAATTTCTGGCCATGGTTGTGTGCTAAATGACACTGCATCAGAAGTGTGACCAAGGCAGTGTCAGATCTTGCTTTCACTGAGCTCAAATTTCAAAAGGGAAAAAGGACACATCTCCAGACAGCCCAGCATGGTCAGGGCTGGGCTGGGGAAAAGCTTGGGCTAGACAGATTGAGACTATCATGACAGAGGCCCAGGACACAGTGGTTGGTGTGCGACAGGGGAAGCACAGGGCCGAGTAATAAAAGTTTTGATGGCATAGCACAGGCCAGAGTGGTGAGGGCTCTGAAGGGGGAAGCAGAGGGGTGTGGGGCCCCAGAGGCAGAATCCAACCCTTTAGGAGCCTCCGCCCCCCCGGGCCTCAGTCAGGGAGGCTTCCTGGAGAGGGGACCTTTATGCTGAGACCTGAAGGATGAGTATGAACAGAGTAGGTGGGCAAAGGGACCTCTATATTGTTTGTGTGCCTTTATTCTATAGCATGTACAGTCTGGGGGTCCCTGCGGTGCCCGAGTAGTACTGTGCATGTGTTTGCATGTGCTGTAACCCGTCATTAGCTCCTGCAAGGGGATCCTGGTGGGATGGTGGTTTGAGGGGCTCCACTGAATTGACGCATTTACTTAATTACAACATCTGGAGAAGGGGACAAAAGCCGTGGAAACAGCCACAGCAGGAAGAATGAGGTTAAACTGCCTGAGAGCTGAGGGGGCCTTGGGGGAAGAGGACTGCTCACATGCACGCATAGAATCTGCCTGAATATACACAAATACACATGGGGGACACATCCATATTCATACATGCACATCACATACTCAGAGGCTCACCAGAACACAGACACGGCAGGCACACGGAACACATAAACACCTGGCTTCACGTTCAAATACAGAGGATACACACGTGCACAGATTCACACTCAGACACATGAGAGATGATCATATGTGTAGAAACACATTCTGCACAGATTCTCTCTTGCATGCATGTGTGAGCCACACTCCCACACATATACACAGGAAATATATTCAGAAACTCATATCAAATAACTATACGGAGTACACACGCATGTGTACACATGTGCACACACACATGATGTGCGCATGGACATTCAAATCAATGAAGTCTGTCAAAAAAGTCACCTTATAAATAAACTTAGGCCCCTTTCAAGTTGGGGGTTGTTTGAGTAATCATGGAAGGAGCTGGTGTCCCCTTATCCCCAACTGGTACCCACCAACCCAAGCCTAGCCAGTGGGGTTCATTGGAATTAGCTCAGCTTTGTAATCAGCACATGAATTGGTACTGTGGGCCAATTCCACTAGGAATTCACTTTATTTTTTTTTAAGGTTTATTTATTTATTTTGAGAGAGAGAGAGAGAGAGAGAGAATGTGTGTGAGCACAAGGCAGAGAGAGAGGGAGAGAGAATCCCAAGTAGGCTCCGCACCACCAGCACAGAACCCAATGTGGGGCTCGAACCCACAAACTGCGAGTTCATGACCTGAGCTGAAATCAAGAGCAAATGCTTAATCAACTGAGCCACCCGGTTGCCCCAGACTAGGAACTCGCTTTAAAGATTAGATGTGAAGGTGCATTTCCATATGGATGGGTCAAAAGAGAGGGGCAGGAAGATGAGTACATACTCCCCACCCTCCCAAACATATACACTAACCACCACTGTAAATCAGACTGATGGGTTCCAGGCAAGCACTGACTTCTACAGGGCAACCACAAGATCCTGTGTATGACTTTCTGTTTAGCTCTGGTGGAAGACCTAAAGCAAGGCTCAGGGTCCGCTTTAATGACTTTCACCTGTCAATATGGAAGAAGCCTTCCATAAGAACACGGAGACAAGTTTACATTTGGGCAAAGAATCTCCATTCTTTGGGATACACTGATAAGTTTTAATTAGTAAACGTAGAGACTTTGGGCTACTGTATGAAAATGCTATGTGAAAGCCCAAATACCACAATTAGGGATTAGAGTGACATTTCACAGAATGACAGGGGGGTGCTCAAGGTTTATTGATATCAGAGGCCCAGAGAGGAAAGGTCAGAGTATCAGTGAGTGTAATGCCAGCTACCGGAACAAAGAACTCCCTTGATTTCAGTGACTTCATACAATAGTTGGTTTCTTGCCACAGGTGTCCTGCTTGGTTGGCATCTGTCCTCCATCTGGTGACTCACACAACAGCCTTGTTAATCTTGTGCCTCCATATTTCCTGGGGCTCTGAATTATCTGCTTCCACCTGGCAAATGGGAGGAGACAGGGTAGAGAAGTTTCACCAGCTTCTTAAAAATCTTGGCCCAATCTATAAACCTCCCTTCTGTCCATATTTTATTGGAGATAACTAATCACATAGCCACCCCGGATGCAAGGAGGGCTGAGAACATATTCCCAGGTCGGGCAGCTTCCTGCCATCACGGTTATGTAGAGTGTATGGATTCTAATGGACCCAACATCAAACACCACCGGATCCACAGACTCAGGGGTGGGAAGCAGGAAGAGGCTTGGCATCTCCTTCTATTCACTACACCAAATCCTGCTCTAGGGAGATGTCTCAGCCCCACCCTGACCACTCATCCACCTACCCTGGTCCCCTGCCTTTGGGGTGGGTGACCACAAATTTAACTCCTTTGAGGACAAAGTGAATCTGGCTTGATCTGATAAATATTTGGTCGGTGCAGAAAAATGATAATGATTATCCAGCACTTTTTGTCCCAAGCACTTTTTGAGCCCTCACTATGTGCCAGGCCTGATGCTGCGAACACACCTGTGAATCAGGCACAGTCCAGGCTTTGGAAGTTTGTCTTCTCATAAGGCAGAAAGAGACCAGGTAATTTCTGGACCTGTGGTTGTCGCTGTGATATTCTATTATGAACAAGATAAGGGAGGAGGAGGGACCAGGAAATCACCAAGTCGGCCTGCCTGTGCCTAATGGTGGGGTTGGGGGTGGAGGTTCAGTGAGGGAATGAGGGCAACATTTAAAGAGGAGGTCATCCAGACCAGAAGGGGGGCACGTTTGTTTGAAAATAATCCGTGTGCGCAGATCTGTTTTGCTAATCATTAACTTAACGATTCCAGCTCCTAACACAAACTACTGTTGATTCAAGTGCTAATCAGAAATCTCATCTCTTTGAACACAAACCTGTGCTGATTCATGTGCTAACCGTAAATCTATGCTGATTGTAAACTCTGTCCTGGAACACGGCTAAATCACAAACTTGGGCAGGAACACCACCCAGTAATCACCAACTCATAGGGATCCACATGCTAATGGCCATTTTGAGTTGATTCATGTGCTAATTACAATCTTTGGTGAAGAAAAGCACTGATCTGAAGCCTGACAGCTAGGTTCAAATCCCAGCTCTGTTACAGACCAGCTGAATTGACTATGGGCAAATTATTCCCTCCTTTGGGCCTCAATTTCATTCTTGTAGAGGTGGGCTGGCTGATAGCACCTCGTATGGCTGTTGGGAGGATGAAATAATATAATTCATGTAAGACGCTGGAAGCAGTGCCTCGCTTCGATGTGTTTACTCTTTAAGTACTAGCTGTAATAATGATAACGATAATACAGAGAGAAGTTACTGTCCTGATTTCATTTAATCTTCATAGTGGGCCCTGCCTCCAACGTCTTCACCACCACCATTCTTCCTTGGCCCAGGTCTGGAGGCTTCACCCTCTGGATGGGCAGCCCGGAGGTTCCCAGGGCACTCTCAGCATTCCCAAGTCCGGTCCCCGCTACTGCTGTTCTCAGCACTATTGCCAGGTCGGGACACAACCGCTCAGCCGCCACTTGGGGGCAGCAACACACCGCTCAGCCGCTGCCCGTGCGGTGCACTGTGGGGCACGTAGTCTCGTGGGTGGGTTAGGCGGTGGTTCCAGCCTAGGAACCGAACTGCATTTCCCAGAAGGCCACGCGACACCATCTGCCTCACCTTGCTCAAATTTGGAGGCTGAGACCTCATCCGCCGTGAGGGTGCGCCTCCAGAGCGGCGCGGGGAATTGTGGGGTGGCGGAACTGAGCCCCGCGCCCCGGGAAGGAAATGGTGCGCAGGCGCGGGCGGTTGGTCTAGCCAGATGGACCTTAGCGGGTGGGTAGGGGCAGCAGCTGTTCAGTCCCGGGAGTCGGCGCCTCTTTAAAGCAATGGCGTGGGGGTGTGGGGGTGCTGTGCAGTCCCTCAAGGAGCGGCGAGACCAGACCCCCACCACGGTGTGTGCCCTGGAGCCAGCTCAGCCGCCTGCGGCTCTCCTGAATCTTCAAACTCTTGTCACCTGTCAAGACTGTTCATGGCGCCTCAGTCTTAAAAGAAAAAAAATCCCTTCCCCTTCTTTTCTCTCTTTTCCTTCGGAGTTACCCCTTCTTCCCCCATAAAAACACACAAGCAAACAACAAAAACCCCACCCTATTATGGTAATATTCAACCATCCACACAAAAAGAAAGATGTAACGATCTTCCAGGGACCCATCACCTTTCTCAACAATTATCAACATATGGCCAATCCTGTTTTATTTTTTCTGCCTCCCTCCCTGCAGAATTAGTTTAAAGCAAATCCCAGATAGCATATTTCATCCACAAATAACTTTTATATGTATCTCTAAAATACAACGTTCTTTCAAAAAAGAAAAAAAAACTTTATCACACCTAAAACCCAATAATTCCTTAATTTTATTCAGTATCCAACCTGTCTCCAAATTTCCCTGATTGTCTTATAAATATCTTTTTTAAACAAATATTTCTTTTTTTAAATGTTTTTTATTTATCTTCTGAGAGAGAGCAGCGTGAGCAGGAGAGGGGCAGAGAGAGAGGGAGATACAGAATCTGAAGCAGGCTCCAGGCTCTGAGCTGTCAGCACAGAGCCGGACGCGGGGCTCGAATCCACGAACGGCAAAATCTTGACCTGAGCCGAAGTTGGACACTCAACCGACTGAGTCACCCAGGTGCCCCTGTCTTAGAAATATCCTAACTGTTGACTGGTTCAAATCAGAATCCAAACAGGGTCTATGTGTTGCATTTTCTTGGTACGTCTCACAGGCTAATTTGGCTGGTTGCGCTTTGTGTCCTTCATTGGGTTCTTCTGTCCCCTGCAGGTCTTGCAAATTGGTAGGTGTAGAGCTGGGTCAGATTCAGGTGTTTTGTTTTGTTTTCTTTCTAATTTTTAAAAAATGTTTGTTTTTGAGAGAGAGAGACAGAGCATAAGCAGGGGAGGGGCAGAGAGAGAGGGAGACACAGGATTCCAAGCAGGTCCAGGCTCTGAGCTGTTAGCACAGACCCCAGGGCACAGAGCTTGAACTCAGGAGCTGTGAGATCATAACCTGAGCCGAAGTTGGATGCTTAACTGACTGAGCCACCCAGATGCCCCCAGGTTCAGGTTTAATTTGGGGGTAAGTATACTTCATGGGTGATGTTGAATTCTTCAGTCAGGAGTCACGTAATAGTGTCTAGATGTTTCTTTGTGTGTGATGTTAATATCTAATGTTGGGTTTGAGAGTTGTCAGCCTCGTGCATCCATTATAAAAACACAGCGAGACTTCAAGAGGGAAGTGTCTACATGCTCTCCCCTTCATCTCTTTCCCTCTGTTTCACAAAAAACTCCAGATAATTTTGTATTGCTAAAGCTCTTCCCTGTTGCTAAACTCAAGAGGCACTTTCTGTCCTTAACTCAAAAATCCTGCAATAACAGGCCTATCCTGTGCTGTCCAGCACACCAGGCACTAGCCACACAGTGGCTTTTGAGGGCTTAACTAGTCCTAATGGAGATGTGCTATAAGTAGAAAATACACATTGGGATTTCAAAGATTTACTACCAAAAAAAAAAAAATAAAAAGAAAGAAAGAAAAACAAAGAAAGAAAAAAGAAAAAAATGTAAATGTCTCAAGAATTTGTAAATATTGATAATGTGTTGACACGATAGCATTTGGGATATATTAATAATAAATATATGACTGAAATATTTTATTAAAATACTTTCACTTTTCTTTTGAAATGTGGCTACTAGAGATCTTTAACACACGTGGCTTACATTATATTCCTGTTAAAGAACATTATTTTAGACCTAGTGGTTTTCAAAATGTGATCTTTGGGTCAGCAGCAGCACGTGATAACTTGTTACAACTGCAAATTCTCTGCTGTCTAGACCCACTGAACTGGAATCCCTGTGGATAGGACCCAGCTGTATGCATTTTAACAAGTCCTCCAGACCCATCCTGTCTGAAGACTCCCCTTCTGGCTTCTGTGACATAGTACTCTCCCAAACCCACTCACTTCTCACCCTTCCACTGTTAACACCCTGGTTTGAGGCCCATTCAGCACCAAACGGACCACCACAATTGCTTACAAATCTGCCTCTAATCTTGTATCCTACTTGTAGTCCTCTTACCACAGCTTGAGGGGAGGGGCAGGGGTGTCTTTCAATACATTAATCAGACCGTATTACTTCCCTGCGTAAAACCTTCCCATTGGAAGCCATTGCTTCTCAGTTGCACTTACAGTAAACTCCAAGCTCCTTCCTGTGGCCACTGCAGCCCTCCATCATGTGACCCCTGCAGCCTCCTCAATCTTGCATTGTCCTCCAGCCTCCCTTTCACTCTTTCTGCCCCGATCATCTCATCTCGCTGTTCCTCACACACTCCCAGCTCTTTTGGGGCCTTTGTGATGGCCACCCCCTCTTCTGGGAACAGAGTTCTCCCAGGTCTTTGTAGTGGAGGGCTAGCCCTCTTGTTCTTCCGGTCTCTCAGTTCAGATGCCTCGTCTCAATGCTGCCGTTGAGTCACTCCAGCTAAAGCCTGACTCTCCCACACCCACATTCACATCTATCCCCTCCCTCTCCTCTGCATGGCATGTCACGCACACTGTTCTTCCTCTTCTTCATTTGTTTGTCTGTCTCCTCTACTATATAACATAAGCATACAAGGGCAGGGATTCGCCTCTCTTGCTTACCACTTTGTCCCCAGCTCCTACCTGCACACAGGAGGTGCTCAAGACAGTCTGTTCACTGACCTAGTAAGTGCTCCTCCTCAGTCTCTCTTGTGGCCTCTACATACTCTGAAGTCAGAGGACCATCGGCATCCAGTGTGTTTGAAAAATCGGAACACTCTGATTTCTGGCTTCTGCCATGTTGGGATATCCGACAACACGGAGCCCATGTTTCTTTATCTTTTTCTTTTTTTTAATGTTTGTTTGTTTTGAAAGGGAGCAGAGGGAGAGGGAGGGGCAGAGAGAGAGGGAGAGAGGGAATCCCAAGCAGGTTCTGTGCTGTCAGCACAGAGCCTCACGTGGGCCTCCATCTCATGAACTGTGAGATCATGACCTGAGCTGAAATCAAGAGTTGGACGCTTAGCTGACTAAGCTACCCAGGTGCCCCTGGAGGCCATTTTCCTGCTTGGGCACAGAAGGCTGGAGCTGCTAAACCTCTGAGGGCCTGATGGAGATACAGATATTAAACCAGAGAGACCGTAACACATGGAGGTGGTTATGCACCAGATGGAGGAGCTGAGGGGCCAAGCAGGAGCCAGTGAAGCAATCAGAAATTAGCAGCAGTGGGAAGCCACTGTCACTTCAGGCTGGAGGAACAAAGGGAGGAGGTGGCATCGCCAGAGTCCAGAGCCGAAGTCACCTCATAGAAGCTGGGGACCCAAAAGGAATGGCTAGCTGGCTGTAGCTGTAGGGAGGCACAACCACAAGCAGAGGGAAGAATTGCCTTGGCCTGTGGTTCTCACTCTCTGGGCTCCTGCCACTGCTTCCCGGTGGCGGAACCCCAGGAAAATCCAGAGAAAGGGGGAGACTGGAAACTGTGACCTGGGATGCAAGCAGAAAGGGGAGGATGAGGAACAGATCCAGGGGCAAATACAGCCGAGAGCAGCACAGCGTGGGATCCTGGGCAAACCCGGGTCCCCACCATGCTGTGGTGGCCGCACTTCACTGACTTACATTACATGTCTCGCTGATGTAGGTTTAGGGTTAGGGTAGAATTCGCAACCCCAGTGTTTCAGTTTTCTTTTGCTGTGTAACAAACTATCCAAAAATTAAGTCAACCACTTTCTTTTCCCTCTGATTTTACAGATCAGTTATTCAAGAAGGGCTCAGTGGGGGCTGTTCTTACTTAGTGTCCATCATATGCTTGAACTCAGATGGTGAGTGGGCTGGAGTCATTTGAAAACTCAACAGGCCTGGTGTCCAAGGTGGCTCGCTCGCATAACTGGCAATGCTGCTGACTGTCAGATGAGAGGTCATGGGTTGTTGACCAGAGCAAATATACATGGTCACTCCAGCACTGCAATCTTACATAGTGGCTGGCTTCTCCCAGAGTAGGTGTGCCAAAATATCCAGGAAGAAACTGCTTAGCATTTTTTTTATATATATATTTTAATGTTTTTTATTTATTTCTAGGAAAGAGAGAGAGAGACAGCGTGAGCAGCGGAGGGTCAGAGAGAGGGAGTCACAGACTGAAACAGGCTCCAGGCTCCAAGCCGGCAGTCAGCACAGAGCCCGACGCGGGGCTCGAACCCACGAACTGCGAGATCATGACCCAAACGAAAGTCAGACGCTTAACCGACCAAGCCACCCAGGCGCCCCACTGCTTAGCATTTTCTGATTCAGCTTCTGAAGTCACACAGCATTACTTCTGCTGCTGTCTATTGGTTGAAGTAGCCACAAACCCACCCCGATTTAAGATGAGACAAAATAGATCCCACCTCTTGATGTGAGGAATCAGTGGCCACATCTCACCACAAAGAATGTTCTTTGAGGCACTGATATGCATCTATTTTTTTTCCTGACCCTAGACATTCTCCTTAGGTGAATTGCTCCATTACATTCTGGTGGCTTTGATGACCATCTACATGACTATGATTTCCAGCCCTGTTTGCAGCCTAGACTTTTTCTTCATGTACAGAATGGCTACAAGGTGGACATTCTCCCAGATGTTGCTTAGATACCTCAAAATATCTGCATTCAGATAATTTGGTTACCCAGCTGCTGGTTGGGAATCAG